GGGAGTAAGAGGGGTAGAGGCGGGTAAGAGGGAAAGAAGTGGATAGGAGTGGAAGAGGGGAAGGAAGCACTCTTCCTCCTCCTTGCCGCAAGGAGGAAGTAATTCGGAAAAAGAAGTGGAAAGATAGGAAGGTTGGGAAGGTTGTGAAGAGATGGGAAAGGCTAGGGGCTAGCTAGAGAAAAGGGTGAGGCGGGAGTGGAAAAAGGAACCACCAGTGGAAAAAAGTGGGAGGGGGGGGGGTGAGGAGCAACTGAAAAGGGGGGGGGGCGAATGAGAAAGGTGAGAAGGGGCTGAGCTAGGAGATAAAATGCAAGAGATGGAACATGAGGAAAAGAGGTGGTGGGAGGAGAAAGATAAAAGGGAAAGAGAAATGTTAATTGGGTGATGAGGAAATTGAGAGGGGATGGGGAAGGATGGAAGGGAAAGGTGGAATGGGAAAGAATGGGGAGAGGATAGAAAAGGAGAGAATGAAGGAGTGAGGGAATAAGGAAAAGCATAGAAAAAAGAAAGATACGGAAATGGGTAAGAGAATGGAGACAGCTAAGGGAGACATGGAAGGGAAAATGGGTAAAGGAGGGATGAATGAAAAAAGAAGGTATACAAATGAGGTGAATGAATAGTGAGCAGGAAGAGGTGGATGGATAGTGGGTAATAGGGAATGGTGAGGGGTAAAGAGTAACATTTCGAGGCGGTAAATGGGTGCTATAGGAATTAGAGCATAGGGATAGTGGAGTAGATATATAAGGGAAGGATGATGGTAAGGAATAGAAGGGGATGGGGTGGAAAAGGAAATAAGAGGTGGAAAAAGAGGGTTGGAGGGATGGAAGCTTTACTCCAAAGTTACAGTAGAACCCTACACCACCATGTATATTATTCAGCACTTATTTAAATATCTAAAATTTAACTTTGCTCAATAATCCCTGGTCCAGTACGTTTTTAAAAAATATATATATACTGTATATATAAAAGGGAGCAATGCAACAGGCCTATACGAAGCTGATAAGACAATTAGCTTTCATTCCTAGATTTACTTATTTTTAACTTTTTTTTCTCTTTTATAAATAAAACACATAAATACAATATAAAAACAGTTACCAAAGCACTTATTTTTAACTGGCCTAAACGGCATCCCGCTGCAGTTAATGTTACTTATAGTCCACACTATAGGTAAATAACCCCACACAGCCTATATAATATAGTCCTCACCTCTCAACAGACAGCCAGTGGGTTGAGATAGGTTGCTTTCTGATTATAAGAAACCCTTATACAGTATATAAGGGTTTGACATGTATATGAGTGGGGTTGGGTGGTTATAGGAGCTGCCTCGTGTGGGTCAATAGGCCTTCTGCAGTTACCTTTGTTCTTATGTTCATATATCGCAGGTTAGGATGTATTAACTTATTCTACGTTATGGGGTAGGTTCGGCTTGGATTGGGTTAGAGTTAGGTTGGGTTTATTTAGGTTCGGGTAAGGTTACGTTGGGGTTTAAGTAGGTTTTGGAAGGAAGGAGAAGGTTGCGTTGGGGTTTGAGTAGGTTTTGGCAGGAAGGAGAAGGTTGGGTTGGGGTTTGAGTAGGTTTTGGCAGGAAGGAAGAAGGTTGGGTTGGGGTTTGAGTAGGGTTTGGAAGGAAAGAGAAGGTTACGTTGGGGTTTGAGTAGGTTTTGGAAGGAAGGAGAAGGCTACGTTGGGGTTTGAGTAGGTTTTGGAAGGAAGGAGAAGGCTACGTTGGGGTTTGAGTAGGTTTTGGAAGGAAGGAGAAGGCTACGTTGGGGTTTGAGTAGGTTTTGGCAGGAAGGAAGAAGGTTGGGTTGGGGTTCGGTAGGTTTTGAAATACGTTGGTGAACCGCCTCGTGTCCCCAACGGCTGGGGCAGACTAACCGGCTAACTCAAACACTACCCAATTACCAGTGTCAGCTCCCGGGCCCCAGAGCCTCCCAACACTATCCTATTACTAACGGCAGGCAGCCAGGCCTGGTCTCTTACCCAAAACATTCTCTCCCCCCTACACCAAGAAGGGTGCTAGCGAGGCAGGGAGGAGAGTGGGTAAGGAGGAAGATGGCAAGAAGGGAGGGCAGGCAGAGGGGCAGGGAGAAAGGGAGGGCAGGCAGGGAGAAAGAGGGCTGGCAGGGAGAAAGAGAGGGCAGGCAGGGAGAAAGGGACGGCAGGTAGAGGGGCAGGGAGAAAGAGACGACAGGGAGAAAGGGAGGGCAGGCAGAGGGGCAGGGAGAAAGGTAGCCAGTTGTTGGGCGGGTGGAACGAGGCGGGGATCCAGGACGGCAAAGGGCAGCAAGGGAGGGAGGTAAAGGGAAGTAAGGGAGGGAGGTGAGAAGAGAAAGGGGAGGAGACGTACGTAGGATGGAAGGTAGGTAGGTAGAAAGGTTGGTAGGTAGGAGGAAGGTATGTAGGGAGGGAGGGAGGTACATACTTATGGAGGGAAGGGAGGGAGGTAGATACGTATGGAAGGAAGGGAGGGAGGTAGATACGTATGGAAGGAAGGGAGGGAGGTAGATACGTATGGAAGGAAGGGAGGGAGGTAGATACGTATGGAAGGAAGGGAGGGAGGTAGATACGTATGGAAGGAAGGGAGGGAGGTAGATACGTATGGAAGGGAGGGAGGTAGATACGTATGGAAGGGAGGGAGGTAGATACGTATGGAAGGGAGGGAGGTAGATACGTATGGAAGGGAGGGAGGTAGATACGTATGGAAGGGAGGGAGGTAGATACGTATGGAAGGGAGGGAGGTAGATACGTATGGAAGGGAGGGAGGTAGATACGTATGGAAGGGAGGGAGGTAGATACGTATGGAAGGGAGGGAGGTAGATACGTATGGAAGGGAGGGAGGTAGATACGTATGGAAGGGAGGGAGGTAGATACGTATGGAAGGGAGGGAGGTAGATACGTATGGAAGGGAGGTAGATACGTATGGAAGGGAGGGAGGTAGATACGTATGGAAGGGAGGGAGGTAGATACGTATGGAAGGGAGGGAGGTAGATACGTATGGAAGGGAGGGAGGTAGATACGTATGGAAGGGAGGGAGGTAGATACGTATGGAAGGGAGGGAGGTAGATACGTATGGAAGGGAGGGAGGTAGATACGTATGGAAGGGAGGTAAATACGTATGGAGGGAAGGGAGGTAGACACGTATGGAGGGAAGGGAGGGAGGTAGATACGTATGGAGGGTAGGGAGGGAGGTAGATACGTATGGAGGGAAGGGAGGGAGGGAGGTAGATACGTATGGAGGGAAGGGAGGGAGGTAGATACGTATGGAGGGAAGGGAGGGAGGGAGGTGGATACGTAGGGAAGGGAGGGAGGTAGATACGTAGGGAAGGGAGGGAGGGAGTGAGGCAAGCAGGCAGGGGGAAGAAGGGAGACGAGCAGGGAGGGAGTGAAGCAAGCAAGCATGGAAGAGGGAGGGAGTGAGGCAAGCAAGCAGGGAGGGGAGGTAGGGAGGGAATGAGGCAAGCAGGGAGGGGTTGAGGAATGGAGTGAGGCGGGCAGGGATGGAGTGAGGCAGGGAGGGAGCGAGGCATTGAGTGAGGCAGGCTGGCAGGCAGGCAGGCAGGGAGGGAGCGAGGTCTGGCCTCCACCACCACCAGGGGCGGCAGGCGTGGCGGGAGGTGGTGGTGGTGGAGGGTAAGCGGGTGGGCGGCCGTGATGCAGGCCGCCCAATCTATCCCTAACCCCCTCAGGAGCCTCCTATCCCTCTAGTACACAGGCAGGCGGTGGAGGGAGGCAGCCGGACAGGCCAAACAGGCCTACACCCCACCAAAACTAGCCCAACCCTAGCCCCTAGCCACCACCAGCCTTCAACAAACAAAGGCCACCAAGCTCTCCCCTCGCCCACCAAAATGTTGCCAACCCACTCCACATTTGCCTAATTCCCCCTCTCCAAAAACGTTCAAAATGGGCCGGCGAAAACGTTGAGAGTCGGAGTGGACATGCGGCCGCAGAGCACGTGGGCTAGCAGTTTTGGGCAAGAACCTCCAATCCTTTTAATAATCAACAATTACCATTCGACCCTCCGCCAAGAAGGGCGTAAGCCGCACCCATTCGGGGGAGCCAAGGGAGGGAGAGAGAGGGGGGGGGAGAGAGGAGAGGGAGGGGGGAGAGAGGGGGGTGGAGAGTAGAGTTCAACTATTTATTCTCTATCCCCAAGACAAACTTTGTGAGTAAACCCCCTCTCCTCAACCCCCCCCCCTGATCCAAAAACGTTTATGAGGGGGGGTGGGGAAGGGTAGGGAGGGGCGGGCCATGCTGTCATTGTTTACAGCGTGTCACGTGCGTAAGGGAAGCCTCTGACATGAAAGTAAATAATTGACATGTAATGCATATTGCAACTCGTTCCATTTACCCCTCTACAGCTTTCCCTAAGGGGGCAATAGCCCCCCCAATTTCCCCTCCCCCTAGAGCTCATACCCATGCCCAAAACCCCCCCTTACAATGGGGGGCATAGCCCCCCCATCTCCTTCAAAAAATTTAAGAGAGAAAAAAGATGTTGTTGAAGTAGGCTACGTGGCCGGGGTGTCCTCCCCGGCTGAGCGCCCGGCCCGGCCCGGCCCGCCACCCCGCCGCCCCGCCTGACCGCCACCACCCGGGCCGCCATGCAAAAACTGGGGTGGGTGATGCTGCTGCTATCAGCTGATGACCACACACACACACGCCCACCACGCCGCCCACACCACGCCCACGGCACGCCCACTGAGTACAGGCAACACCAGCAGCAGCAGCAGCAGCGGCGAGTGACGTATTGTCAAGGCTCCGGCCTCATCATACACCCCCCCTCTCCCCTACCCCCCCCCCCTGTCTACTGGGATCAGCTGATCACCCACCACCTGACAGCTGGTTCACAGCCTCTGCAACACCCGCTGTGCAACACCCGCTCTGCAACACCCGCGCTAGACGGCACACACACCCGTCCCGTCCTCCTCCCTACCCACCTAACCTACCCGTCCCAAACACACACACACAAGCCCTCTCTGTTCCCCCGTCTCTCCATTTACCTGTCTGTAGCTTCTGCCGGACTCCAGATCCGTGCGGTGGTGGGCGTCGCGGCTAGAGGAGGGCTGCGTGGCGGGCGTGGGCGTGCGGGCGAGGGCGTGCGGGCGGCGTGGTGGAGGAAAATAGGTGGGTTGTGTGGTTGAGGGAGCAGGAGCAGCGGCCGCCGGTATCGACCAAGAAGACCTCAGGCCCGGCGAGAGTAAGCGAGAGAGCGTCGCCGCCGCCGCCTCCACCAACACTCTCCCTCTCTCTCCCTCCCTCTCCCTCTCCAACACTCTCTCCCCCACACTCACTAGCACCGCCACAACCTAGCTAACACTTGACACGCCTCACCTACTGTACACTTAAGGGCGCTACACACACTTTTCCAGTTCCATTGCGGAGAAGAGAGGACGGGGGGGGGGTGGGAAAAAAAAAGTGCGCGCGACAGTCTCCGGCGCGACTAACCGATCTCACCACACAGCCAGTTCCAACAATCACCTCTCAATTCACCATCAATTTCTCACTTTTCCGGCGTTATTCCACACTCACATCACACACTACACTTTGATCCAGGTTCTGCGCGACATTTTAGGCACATTTTCGGCACTAAACCCTTCAATTTGGGCGAGAAAAGCGTGAGGGAAGGCGCGGAGCGTGCCGCCAAGCCGAGGTACTCGTGTGTGTGGCGCTCTGAACAAGGGAGTGTGGCGGGGTCCCACGTCCACCCAACACTGCCCTTTTTTATTCCATATTTCTCTCTTCCTATCGTCTCTAGCGGCTCCTTAGTGGGCCGTCTCCACACTTTGATTTTCGGCCAAGGTCCAGCGAGGCATTTGTGGCCGTGGTTTGCGGCAAATGGATAGAAAACAGCATGTAAAAGTGATTAATCAGGTTGTTTGTTAGTGAGCGTTCCGGCGCCAGATGGCAGCAGGGCGCAGCCCGGGCGCATTAGGCAGCTTCGTGCCAGACGTAGGATTCACCCGACCAGTCCCATGTGTGCCACATTTACCATCCATTATCCCTTCTATTCTCACCCCTATTTGATCTATTGGCAATGGCTTTGGGTATCTTCGAATGTCTTAACGAGCGGCGGGCTGTAACGAGGTGGGTGGAATGATGAGGTAGAAAAGTGTGGGCGGCGTCCGGCAGCGCACAGCACGGCTTGAGGGTTTTCCAACGCCGGCGGACGCAAGACGTGATCGATGCTAAGTCCTGACCGCCACTGTCGATTCACGCACAACTTTCATAAATTAAAAGCGCCTGCGATCGGTTACAATGGCGAGTTGTAGGTTGGAGCGCGACAACATTTACCTGGGAGTTGTCTGGGCCCGCGGGAGGAGAAGCAGGTCTGTGGTGGCGCAGAGAAAAGCCACAGCAAGTTTGGATATGACTACGTGTGTGCAGCTGTTAGTTGACTCAACCATCCATCCAGCCCGGCCCTACACCACGGCCAGCACCACCACCACTACACCTTCCCTCCCTCTCTACACCACGGCCAGCACCACCACCACTACACCTTCCCTCCCTCTCTACACCACGGCCAGCACCACCACCACTACACCTTCCCTCCCTCTCTACACCACCACCACTACACCTTCCCTCCCTCTCTACACCACGGCCAGCACCACCACCACCACTACACCTTCCCTCCCTCTCTACACCACCACCACTACACCTTCCCTCCCTCTCTACACCACCACCACTACACCTTCCCTCCCTCTCTACACCACCACCACTACACCTTCCCTCCCTCTCTACACCACCACCACTACACCTTCCCTCCCTCTCTACACCACCGCCACTACACCTTCCCTCCCTCTCTACACCACCACCATACCCTCACCACCACACCCTCACCATCACCACCACACCTTCCCTCACCATCACCACCACACCTTCCCTCACCATCACCACCACACCTTCCCTCACCATCACACCCTCACCATCACCACCACACCTTCCCTCACCATCACCACCACACCCTCACCATCACCACCACACCCTCACCATCACCACCACACCTTCCCTCACCATCACCACCACACCTTCCCTCACCATCAGCACCACACCCTCACCATCACCACCACACCTTCCCTCACCATCACCACCACACCTTCCCTCACCATCACCACCACACCTTCCCTCACCATCACCACCACACCCTCACCATCACCACCACACCCTCACCATCACCACCACACCCTCACCATCACCACACCTTCCCTCACCATCACCACCACACCTTCCCTCACCATCACCACCACACCTTCACCACCACACCTTCCCTCACCATCACCACCACACCTTCCCTCACCATCACCACCACACCATCCCTCACCATCACCACCACACCTACCCACACCAACACCACCACACCTTCCCACACCATCACCACCACACCTTCCCTCACCATCTACAACACACCTTCCCTCACCATCACCACCACACCTTCCCTCACCATCACCACCACACCTTCCCTCACCATCACCACCACACCTTCCATCACCACCACACCATCACCACCACACCCTCACCATCACCACCATCACCACTACACCTTCCCTCCACCACCACCACCACACCTTCCCTCCACCACCACCACCACACCTTCCCTCACCATCACCACCATACCTTCCCTCACCATCACCACCACACCCTCACCATCACCACCACCACCACCACACCTTCCCTCCACCACCACACCTTCCCTCACCATCACCACCACACCTTCCCTCACCATCACCACCACACCTTCCCTCACCATCACCACCACACCTTCCCTCACCATCACCACTACACCTTCCCTCACCATCACCACCATACCTTCCCTCACCATCACCACCACACCTTCCCTCACCACCACCACCACACCTTCCCTCACCATCACCACCACACCTTCCCTCACCATCAACACCACACCTTCCCTCACCATCACCACCACACCTTCCCTCACCACCACCACCACACCTTCCCTCACCATCACCACCACACCTTCCATCCACCATCACCACCACACCTTCCCTCACCACCACCACCACACCTTCCCTCACCATCACCACTACACCTTCCATCCACCATCACCACGACACCTTCCCTCACCACCACAACACCTTCCCTCACCACCACAACACCTTCCCTCACCACCACAACACCTTCCCTCACCACCACAACACCTTCCCTCACCACCACAACACCTTCCCTCACCATCACCACCACACCTTCCCTCACCATCACCACCACACCTTCCCTCACCATCACCACTCACCACCACACCTTACCTCACCATCACTCACCATCCCTCACCATCACCACCACACCTTCCCTCACCATCACCTACCGAGGGTAACACATGCCAAGGAGAGACAGCAAAAGAGAACAGAATAAAATAAAAGTTCAACAAATTCAGGCTGGAAATGCAAAAAGGGAATTAGACCATTTCTGCAGGCTAGGTAAGTTTCAGAGAGTAAGAAATCGACCAGTAAAATCGATCTGCATAGGACGAAAGAAAATCTGGCAACAGGGTGTAGAATACAGGGGAAATAGTGGGATAGACGAGCTTAACAATGCAAGCGAGTGTATTACAGAGAGAGATGGTAGGGTTCCCTAGCTAATGAAGCAGCTACACAAATATATAGCAAGAGTGACTGGTTCATCATATCAGACACGGAAATGCAGCCACATGAATGAATTCTTCTCGGGAAAGGGGGGGTGGGGGGAATAGCCCAAATGACATGAGTAGCATAAAAGTAATGTACTCAAATGCAGATGGAATCGCAAATAAAGGGGTAGAATTACAGAACACGAAACTAACATGAGTTATACGTAATGCACACTTCCCACAAGAGTATCAGGTAATAATGAGAGCTAGGCTGTGCAGAGGGGAAGGTGGTGTAGCTCTGTTGCTACAACCACACTAGAGCTTAGAAGAAGTAAAACTAGCAGAGGGCAAGAGTAATATGCTCAAGAAGACGAGCAAGAGTATATACAAGGAATAAAAACAGTTGGAGGCATGAAAAGAATGATGGCAGTGATTTATAATCCTCCACTAAAACAATAGAAGGCCAAGGAAAGAATACAACAGATGCAATGAGTATTGTCTGACGGTAATGGAAAAAGCAGCCACAGTAGCAAGGAGAACAAGAACTAAAATCCTGATATTGGGTGACTTCATCCACAGAGAAATAGAGTAGATAAATAAGGATCCCCCACAGCGGTGATACATGGAGAGCAAAACTGGTAGATATGGACACAAACATTTCTTACAGCAATATGTCACAGAACCAACAAGAATAAGAGGAGATTAACACTTGACCGTCAGGAACACTTGACCAGGTGTTTCCCAAAATGAAAATTTTCCCAAAAATTTCCCAAAATGAAAATTTTCCCAAAAATTTCCCAAAATGAAAAATTTCCCGAAAATTTCCCAAAATGAAAATTTTCCCAAAAATTTCCAAAAATGAAAACTTTCCCAAAATTTCCCAAAAATGAGATGCCTCTACGAGCTAACTGACCACTGCATTGTCATGCTTGAGTACATCGCGAGCTGAAGCAATTGGTTACACAAAGAAATCCATTGAAGAAAAGAGAGATTACAGACGTGAGGGACTCCTTGCACAAAATCCAAAGACAATGGGAAGACAGCATATGACATGATGGAATTCATTGCAGGGAAATGTGCCGATGCAACGGAACAGTTCCTACCCCTCAAGGAGGTGGTTGGAAAAAGTAAACACCTGGTTCAATAGACAATACAGGAACGGTAAAGACAGGACCAAAAATAAATAGAAAAACTACAGAGAACAATAAAGAGGGACCAAAGAGAACCACGAATGACTACGTCTGAGTTAGGAGAGAAGCCGAGAGACAAAATGAAAATGACATTGCTGTCAAAGCTAAGGACTAACCAAAGGTGTTCATAGCTTATAAGGAGATAAATGACAGTGTGAGACCAGGGGCCAGATTTACGAAAGCACTTACGAACGTGTACATCTTTCCTCAATCTTTGACGGCTTTGGTTACATGTTAAACAGTTTACAAGCATGAAAACTTGCCAATCAACTGTTGTTATTGTTATAAACAGCCTCCTGGTGCTTCGGAGCTCATTACCTGTTTAATAATTGTAAAGCCAGCCGCCAAAGATTGAGAAAATATATACACGTTCGTAAGTGTTTGCGTAAGTGCTTTCGTGAATCTGGCCCCAGGTCCTCAGATTGAGGAAAGAGAGGGGAATGTCTCACACATGTTAATGAGGTGTGTGTGGCACTCAATGAAAGATTTCAGGAGTTGTGTATCTTAGAACCAGCGTGGAGAGCAAGGTTTCATGAG